CCTAACATGTGCGCAAGCTTATGATTTCTTGCTTGAAGGGGCTATCCATGTCCCGTTTTGCTTTATAAATTGGTTTGAAGAAGCAACTGATGAAGGATAAGGGTTGTGCGCTAAAACACTTGCCAGAACCAGCGTGTTCTTCGCAGCCGATTTATATTAAGTCAGCCCTCAACTCCCGTGAGGATTGCAAGGAACTTACGAACCTTTTGTTTTAGCGACTGTGTTTATGTCTTTCCAGAGACTCTTTGTTCTGTGACACTCGCTCATGACATCTTTGTATTCTTTTGAAATTTACATTTTTGTACTACTCATACATACTTCGCCCCATTCTTACGCTTTTCACACATTTTACTCCGCAAAATTTTTTTCAGACATAAAATTTATATATAACTCCACGCGGAATATTTTTCGTATCCCTGATGATTCCGTTGATCGGTGAAAGTTCGGCATTTATTTTTATTTTTAACTACATTAGTTAAAGGCCGCACTCGAACAATATTGTTACTTTCTAACGTTTAAAGCTTTGTTAAATCAGAACTTAACATGAAACATACGAGCTAACTTGCTCCAATTTACCAACCACAAAGCTTCAAGCCATAATGTTATTGTTTGATTAACGTGATAAACCTAGAATGAGCTTAAGTTGTTACTTCAAACTTGTGTGAAATTTACTAGCCAACCCTTTTTATGCGAAATTACCTTTAACCCTCTAAAATTATGTAACAAATCGCGAAGAACCATTGGGCACATTCCCCTAAAGATACTGCGCACTTGCCGGAAGGTACCCCTGTAAAGACAGGATTTTCCAAAAGTTCTTTCCTCTTCTTTATGCACCGTAAGTCTGTAATGCAGTACAATTGGACTTGATAAGCAAATCGTTCAAACAAAAGTGTCTGTTCAATCTAATTTAATATTTCATACCTGTTGTGCCATCTTTTGACTCGAACGTTCAATTTGTGTACTTTAGCACCAAAGGTACTCGTGATCGAGTATATTTTCCCTCCCCATATTTTTGATTGTGACATTTAGGGGTATCCAATACCCCAATATCGTAAGAAAAATTGGCAAATACCGAAATACCGTGTCAAAAATTGACGAAAAACCGATAGCTCATTGTGATCGGCCATTCTTACTTTAATTTATATCCACCTAGCATGTTTGTTTATCTCAAGCATCTATGCACTAGACATTCTCGTCCCCAGAGCCCGTCGTTTCTTGGTCACTTGGTCGGGAAACGAGAGGCTCTGGAAGCAGCGGTTGCTGGATGTCAGAAAATTTCTGACCTCCGGTAGCGTATGTGCAGAAGTTACAAATATCTTTGCTCATGCTCATAACGGATTTTTGTCCATCACCGCTCCACTGGGGGAAAAATTTTACTTCCTGAGCTCTCTCCAGAGAGTAGCTTCTTTGGGATGTTTTGAAAATGCACTACTTCAGTCAACTTGGATTATCACTGATGATTTGGAGTTAAAAGAAGAAGACAGTAACAGAAACCGGCTGAAAACACTGCTGGTTTGAAGAACTGAGACAATTAATCGGCAGACTATCGTCTGAGTTATGTGAGGTTTTTTTTCAATACGTTTGACGAGCAAACACTGGGAAGCAATATCGCGAATCGATATAATGCGGGAAATTAATAAAAAGTCAATCTAAAAAGGTATCTTGTTCCATGTCCTGCAACTGCTATCTTACTTCAAAACGCTTTTTGAAACGAAGCCATTCATGTGTTGTGTTAGGAGAGTAAAATATATATTTCATTTCATTTCACTCGAGTTGGTTGTGTTTTTTCCTGTTTTCCTTTTGTGGTGTCGCATGTCGTGGTTTTAATTTTGCCCATGAGCTTTTGTGTACAACACGTGTTAGACAACCGACGGATTTACCTCGAAACAAATCAATATTAATCATTTTACCGACCCAGGGTAAAAAAAACATATACTACAAGTTTTTTTCCAGGAGAAGTGACAGTCTAATACACCTCCATGGGCTTCCATGCATGGCAACTTTATACAGTACTGAGTGAATCAAATTCCAGTTCAGTTCTCTCTGCCTGCATATCAACCTCAACTGAAATTTGAACCCCAATTTCCTAACCCTAATCATAAAACTTCGGGGTCATTTGGTGTTTATGCATGCCATTCCGTGTTCTGCTAAAAAGGTTTATCCTCCTAAAGATTTCAAGTATCATCTCCTAACTAAAAATTATCATCAGTACCTCAAAGAGAGAGTTTTCAATAATTTTGCTGTCAGACTCAGAAAATCTGGATCCCCCTGCTGTAACACCGACGAATATCCAGAGGAATTAGAAAAACTGATATGCTAGTTAATAACGCCACACAAGTACAGTATCAATCGCTTGATTTTTAACGAGCAAGGAGCAACAGCAAGAGCTAACTAACCATTACTCCTCCTTTCAGTTTCCCAGGAGCTGTGATGGTCGAGAAACTTCTCAAACTTTACCTGCAATTCTCTTCTTCACTGCTATTGCATGTAAACAAAACAGGATTGTCGCAATCAACGAAACTCAGACACTGATTTCATGTTTGCGGGTCGAGAGGGTGCGAAGTAAAATGTTATGCGCAGTAGATTATATTTTTAATTTGCTTTGCGCATTCAATTGCCTTCAGTCAATGAAAAAATTCGTATTTTCCGTTGCGTCCAGAGCCACTGGTCGGTTACAAATTAAGCCGAGTGGCTCTGGGGACGAGAATGTGCACTAGAAGTCAACCTCGAAAACGTGTGGAGACCCTGAAAAGCCCTGTCATTAGCTGCAACAGCAATTCAATTGTAGATTAATCTCAGAAATTGTGTATCAATCAATAACCAATGGGTTGGATTCCCAATACATATTTTTTCTGCTGCCTAATCTAAATTGTTTGGGGGTCGAAGTGGCTACTTCGTACGTACCAGGTGATGGAAAAGCTCAAAATGGATCACCTGGGGCTCTACACGCTACATGACTTATCCCACTCCATACCGAAACGTCTTAATTTCAGAATGTGATAAAAAGACAAAGGGGACATGCTGGTTGCTAAAGGTCTGAATACATGCACTCGATAGAGGAATAAACAACTTTTAGACATTTCATGTAAAAAAAAAAAAAGGTTTTGATTAAAAGTTATAGGGCATGGAATTAGTAAGAGGGACGAACTCTTGGGAGATCATTTTATGGCCGCTAGAAAGTACAAAATTTCCTTTGATTTGTTGAAAAATTTTCCACTGATTTGCTACGCTCACCAGTGAAATATTTTTCCTCTCCGCGCGGTCATATAAAGTATCATCTAAAAATCATGTATCTATATATCATAGATCCTCTATCTGTCAAGTTTGTGAATAATCTTTCCAGAATTTTGTTCAGATTAAAATGACTCTCTAAACAATGAAATGAGATTTGCTGTACATGTATGTTTAATTAATAAGGCCTGACGTCAGATCAACAGCACCTTAGCATACATTAGGTACGGCAAATATTATTATTGGCTATAATCGATTGGCTAATGTGAGCAATAGCCCTCGGGCGAATTTTTCCAGTGGGGGAGGATTCAACCTTGTCAGGAGAAGGGGAGGGAGGGGGGGGGGGGGGGGTTAACCCCGGGCCCGGGGCGCCCATGGGGACATCTGGGGGGCCCAGGGGTTCTTGGATTTGGGCAAGGCCCAAGGCTCCTTTTCCTTGCCGGAACGTTGCAAGGATCCTCGTGTTGGCGGGCATTTTTTTTCCTTTTCTTAGAATTTCCCGTAGTCTGCTTATTTTACGATCTAAAGCTAAGCTCAGCCAGTCAAAAGCCTCACCCCTTTCCGGTGGTTCTACGTCGCGCGGTGAAATGGAAAATATTGCGCCTACTGCTTGGAGGAGTGGCAGTGGGGATTGAAGGGAGGTGGGGGGGGGGAGGTTCGGGCGGGAGGGGTTGTTAACCTCGGGCCAGTGACGTCCAGTAGGACATTCTGGGAGCCCAGAGTGTATTTGATTTTGAGCAGTGCCCAGGCCTCATTTGCTTGGCCGAGCGTTGACATGTGTCTCGTGGTGGCGGGCATTTTTTATCCTCTTCTTAGAATTTCACGAAGTCTGCTGAATTCGCTATAAAAAGCTTCATTGGTTTCCATACTGAGGTAGTCCTTTTTCTAACAGCCTATCGTGTTTTACTGCTAGAGTTGTTGAAAAAGTTGAGTGTTGGAAAGGAGAGCTGTGGCGGCCGAGATTTCATTGTAAGAAAGACAGAATGAGTTAATATCTCACCCATTAGTCTACTTTTTTTTCGGAAAGTGTGATGATAGTCAAGCTTATTGATCCACGCTCAATGTAAAGCTTCTCATAACCTAAGAGAAAAATATATTTAAAGGTACTATATATTTCTGAATCGGACGTTTACCAAAAATGACCAACTCCTCCCCACAAAAATCAAACGTACGTGGAAGAGACACGAAGCGTCTTCTTGGTCGTTCACTCTATTTTCATGTCTTTTACTCTTCTCCACACTTCCCTTATTTCAAGAGCATTTTCTGAACGGGGAACTGGTAACAACGCCTGCCCTCGTCGTGTGCGCTGTCACAATAATTTGGGTATTCTCGCTCCCAAATCACTAGTGACATGGTTAAGGGGATATCCAAGACCCAGAGATATCCAAATAACTGTTACAGCGGATCCACAATCAGTGATTACCAGGTCACTAACCTGAAAAGGTGCGCTGACGCAGTCACACACCGACTGAAGACAACTTTCTATTTCCCATAATGAATCCTTTATTTAATGGCCTTTTTTAACCAAGAAGAAAAAAAATCATGTTTACCTCGGTAATAGCTGAATTATTTCAAGCCCTTACATAAAACACCTAGACAAAACGCTTGCTTATTTTAGATATAAAAAACTGGATTCATCTTACTCTGCTGAACCCCTTAGGTATAAAATTTTCCTGTGAATATTGATAAAACATTTTACTCTAAAAACAAATCACCTCCAGCAGTAGCTAAATTACATTTTCCCCTGAGATATTCGACGCCAACCTAGTTCAGACATACAGACCGTAAACATCGGCACAGACCTTCCCTTCGTTATCATCTTCGTCTTTATTCGCCAAATCTTCGCCATACCACAGGCGTAACTCTTCACCAGCGGTTATCTCAACAGGATCGGAGAAAACCGATAGCAAAATCTGAGGGGAAAGTGAGGTATATCCAGGAATTTTCGACCAATTTGTCTCACCAGAAATAAACTGTTCAGCAGGCAAAATCACGTGATTGGTCGAGTTGGTTACGACAATGTTTATTTTTGAGGTAGCACATCCCCAGTAAGACCAGCGGCCGTATGAACGCTGATGACAAGACACGTAACCGTACAGGTGAACCAATCTTAGGGATGCTAACTTGCCACTTGATGGAACGTAGAACTTACCAAATTGGTCACCCTTAGTTCCTGAACACACGGGAAGATGATTGAGCTTGAAAACGCCTGCTAAAAGACAAAAGAAGAAGTTTTATTATTCATTCAAAATATTTTTCCGTTCTGATTGGTTAAAATCACGCGCATAATTCATCATAACCAGCTACTGTTGACCAAATTTAGAAGAAACTGATGATATCAATCGTGCAGCAAAAATTGCCAGATTGTTGTACCGTTAACCGAGAAAAGCTGGGGACGAGGTTGAGTTGTTTTGGTAGTGATAGGAATGGCGGAACTTTTTAGCCCTTTTCACAAGGATGGTATAGGCGAACTTTTGGCTAAAAACAAAGCATAAACAGCAAGAAGACAACTCGGCGGACCACATATTCTATTTGGAGAAATTTGCAGAACTGAACAACCCTTTATCTCCTAAACTTCCCAATAAACAAGAACTATCGATGAGTAGCTTAACATCAATGGAGGTACGGCCTCGGTGGATAACACCCTCCGAGATCTACATAATTACATTACATAATCTTCAGGTGATAAGAAAACCGAGTTCAATAATTAAATATTAGCGTAGTTATTGGGTCATTTTTGTATGAGTTCGCTGACTGCTAACAGGGCTGATAAATCGGCTGATAAAGGCGTACTGGAAGAGTACTACTACTACTACTACTACTACTACTACTACCACCACCACCACCACCTTTTTTTTTGACGTTCTTTTTTATGAGGAGGTTTTTATTCTTTATTATTGACAGCTGTGTATCTTACCATTGGAGCTCTACAATATTTAGCGTAAATACACAGTCAACCCCCGATGACTCGAACCCTAGCTAACTCGAAGTAATTTTTGTTTCCCGTCAGACCATTTCTACATTTCTAACTCGAACCCTCTTTCGAGCGCCTAAAATGTCAGGAAAAGAAAAACAGTGTGCTGCAATTAAATCATTCAATTTATTTCAAAGAAACCTTGTATTCTTTACTTTTTTGGCAGTCTAGTTAATTTTTAAATATAGTGTCCATCCTTGTATAATTACATAACGTGTTTTTCTGTTTAAGGGAAGGTACGTTTTTTATTGGGGGGTGGGGGGGTGAGCCGGGGTATTTTAGAATTTTTTGGCGAAAAAAGTCGTGGCCCTCCCACTTCCTGGAATGGATTAATGCATGACCCTTCAGAAATACCCAACAAAAACATCTGACCCTCCCCCCCTACCTATCCAAGACAAAAATAACCGGAAGTGAAAATAACAAACTGGAAGTGTTACTCATATAACCGCGTTCATCTGCGCACAAAGTAGCTAACTGCGTGGCGTGTGATTGTACGGTGTGAAAACTTGAAAATGGGCAAGGATGTACGAGGAATAGAAAGAGGGAAATGCAATTTTGCAATGTTGGAGTGCAAACCCCACCAATGCCCGTTCGCCGGACGACTTCCGGTCTCGAGCTTAGATTAAGCGATTGTTAGAAGAAAGTGAAGTAGTCAGTGGAGACAGTGAGGCTATTAGAAAGTTTTCAGATAAATTCATTGTCCCCGAAAAGCTAGTGGCTGAGTATGTTGAGCACCTTGCCGAGATAATAATGCGCAAGGGGAAAAAGAAAGAGGAGACTGAAAGGGAGCGAATGGCACGGCTAAACTGGTAGCACAATGACATTGACTGGACTGGACTGTACAACTCCGATAAGCTGTCGTCTTTGAGGGTGAACGAGCTATCCTTGTACTTTTCCCATCACAAGATCACCTTCAAAGGGAAAAAAGCTGAAAAGGTCGCAATGATCAAAGCGCACATTGGCAGCTTGCTGTACAATTCAATGGAGCGTCAACAACCTCAGCAGCCCCCGCTAAGAAATGTGAGGCAACCACTGACCTCATCACTTTCCGAGGTCGAAATATGGGCGAAAGCGGGCACGGGTCGAGAGAGACAATTATGTTAGTTGGGAGAAGATAGTTTTTTCATATATAAATTTTTCGACACCTGTAAATAATTTAGATTAATCTTGACTGGTAGCTTTGCTTGTATATACAAAATAGAAGCGACATGGAGTAATTTTTCCTTGCCCAAAAAACTGTGACCCTTTCCCGGCTGAGAATAAAACAGGTTTGCCCTTCCCAATTTGTAAAAAAATTACTAAGGACCCTCCCCTCCGAAGCCTCGGCCCTCCCGCCCCCCCCCAATAAAGAACGTACCTTCCATAAAATGTTTAAGTCCTTTTTCAAAAACAGTGTATCTTTTGCTGGCCTTAAAGTGAAGTGGCAAGGTCCCCATCAATGTTAGCTGATTCAAAATATTTCTCCGTTCTGATTGGCTAAAACCACACGCATAATTTATCATAACCAGCTACTGTTGACCAAATTTGGAAGATACTGATGATGTCAGTCATGCAGCAAAATTGCCAGATTGTTGAAGCGTTAACCGAGAAAAGCTGGGGACGAGGTTGAGTTGTTTTTGGTAGTGATACAAAATGGCGGAACTTTTTAGCCCTTTTCACAAGGATGGTATAGGTGATCTTTTGGCTAAAAACAAAGCATAAACAGAAAGAATAAAACTCGACGGAAGAGATCTACTAGTTGGAGAATATTTGCAGAACTGAAGAACCCTTTATCTCCTAAATTTGCCGATAAACATGTGCACTATTGAAGAGGAACTTAACATCGATGCGATGGAGGTACGGCCTCGGTGGATAACACCCTCCGAGATCTCCATAGTTATATTATATAATCTTCAGATGATAAGAAAGCCAGCTTTAATAATTAGATATTAGTATGTGTAATCAAATGGTGACGAGTGAAATTATAGTGAAATTATTCCTAATTTCACGAGTATACCATTTGATTACCTATTAATATCATGGGTGACGAATTACGTTAGCAATCTTGGATTTTTGACATGTTTATCCTGGATCGCATCGATCGAAAACTTCCCTCTCTCGAACGTTTAGAGCTTAAATTGGGCTTAAGTTCAGAATTTTTCAACAAAATACCTGATAGAATCCTTCTTGATGTACTCTTTCTTGTGTTTAGGTTTTTTAAGGCGTCTTTTTATGCCCTGGCATCTTCGTTCATGAGATTTTGAAACTTCGTCGCCATCTTGACACTGAGACGTACGGAAGGTTGCCATGGCAATTTTGTAATTTCACATGTGAAATTACAAATTATCGCTGAAATTTTGCGCCAAAATTAAGGAGTAATTCGTCACCTATGATATTAGCGTAGTTATTGGGGCATTTTTGGTTGAGTTCGCTGATTGCTAACAGGGCTGATAAATTGGCTGATAAAGGCGTACTGAAAGAGGGTACAACTACTACTACTACTACTACCACTACCACTACCACTACCACTACCACTACCACTACCACTACCACTACCACTACCACTACCACTACCCTTACCACTACCACAACCACTACCACTACCACTACCACTACCACTACCACTACCACTAACACTACCACTACCACTGCCACTGCCACTGCCACTGCCACTGCCACTGCCACTGCTACTGCTACTGCTACTGGTACTACTACTAATACTACTACTACTACCACCACCACCACCACCACCACTTCTACTAGGAGAAGGAAAGGAGAGGAGAAAAAAAAAAGCAATGGTTGCACTCTTTGTTTTTATAATAGCTACTTCGGGCGCTAACGTTTTTAAAACTACGGCTAGATAAAAAGATTTATTTGATGGTCATATTTACAACTAGCTTCCTCTCGAGGAGCCGGCCTTTATTCGGGGCCCAGCGTTAAGTTTCGAAAAAAAAAAAAGTAAATAAAATAATATTACCAATCACAAAAATAAATAAATGTGACAAAAAAGGGTTATCGTAATTTCTACAAAATAAACGTACTTTCAGGTGCTTGTGGTGTAACCGATGTAAAATTTATCTTGGGTCCACCCGCATGAGAGGGGCGTGTACCAATCGGTGAAACACACTTCACTGAACAAGATTTAATAAGGCCTGTCGAGTTTAGAATCTTGCACACTGAAAATAAAAAAGGGTTTTAAATAAAATAAGAATCCACCCTGTAAATTACAATGTTGAGCAATGTTTTACTCTAAAGCATTCAAGAATGGAGTATTCGGGAAATGTCCATTTAAGAAGTGAACTCTCCTTTTAATAGGGGGGCGGTGGGTTTAAGAAAACCCTTATTGAACATGGACATGAGACTTAGCGGCGAAAGTTTAATTTCTCCAGAGTAAGTTATAATTATTTTCCTGGGAAAATTAGCTCTCGCCCACTGGCGCGCCTTGCAAGTTTTCTTTTTATCATCTTGGGTCTCACCCCTTCGTTCCCCTACCCCCTAGCAAAAAAAGGCTCATTTCTCCCCCATTTTGTTCAAATTTCATTCTTATTTTGGGTAATAGTGGGGGGGGGGGGGGGGGGGGGGGGGGGGGGGGTTTTTTTTTGTGTGTCCCAAGAAAAAAGGTTGAAACCTTTTTTTATCCCTTTTCGCTTATTTTAACATTTTCAATCTTTGTTTTTTTTTTTTTTAATCACCTCTTCCACGTTCCAAATAGAACAGGTGGGTATGTTTTTTTGAATACCATTGCCTCTGATAGCACTCCCTCCCCGCACTTCGTCGTGTTGCATTTTTTTTTTTTTTCCTCTTGCCTCCCCCCCCTTCTTCCCCCCCCCCTTAAAAAAAAAAAGGTTTTTTTTCCCCTTTTTTTTGATTATTTGTTTTGTTATTGTGGGGGGGGGGGGGGGGGGGGGGGGGGGGGGGGGGAGGTCGCTAGTTTTACTATTGTCACAGGAATAAGGTTTCAACACTTTTGATCTCCATTGCAGCTATTTTAAAGCTTATACAGTTTTGCTATTCTTACTGTTATAATCACTGCCTGGTTCACATAAGAAGCTGTTGGAACAGTTTGTTAATTCAAATTTTGTCGGGAAGTTTGCACCAGCACCAACCACATCCTTCGCCTTCCCCGTGACGGTCATGCATCTATCCAGTCCAATGGGGCATGTTTTGCTTTCAACATAGAGACTGTCACATTTGCTTGCTCCCATGTGTGGAATATTGGTGCAAACAGGACACTTGATGTTAGACGCTGAAAAAAGGAGCCACTCAATTTTAAACTTTAACAATACTTTTCCAGGGTACTCCCGCTGGGTATACTCAGGGTATTTGAGAATATTTGACACTGGGGCAGGATGAGTTTGACTTTGCTTAGCCGGTTATAGTAGGGAACCGGAGTAAAACTGCTTCAAGTGTTAACTCTTGCACAGAGGTGCAACGCAAAGGGAAATGTTCTCGGCGAGTCATCTTTGTTGATCTTGAGAAGACTCTTTAACCTCTTTTGGTCGATGGGTGTGCGCCATTACTGAATTTTATCATTAATTTGGAAGAAAGAGAATTCTGATACCAAGAAGCTCAGAAAAAAATTCCGAGCTCCAGGTGAGAATCGGACGCAGGCCCTTACGAGTTCTAGTTCAGATGCACTAACCACTGAGCTACTAGAGGCTCTATGGCGAGCGGGATCGGAATTCAATTGTAACTACACCAGTCATAGAGGACTGCATCGAGGACTTACTCGATGGTACCATAGTTAGTAGAGGAGACTGGTTAGAAAACCCGGCAAACATCAATGTTGAAAACAATGGTTCTGTAGGTTATGTTGGAAGCTCCCTGACTGTGCACAATCCTTTGTTTCCTGTTCACATATTATAACTGAATAATTTAATGCAATGTTTCTGTTGGTCAATAACTTCAAAATGATAGGAATGCTATTGAACGTTGTGCAGGGTCAGGGCCAAAAAAGCTAACAAAAACAGCCTACAACAAAGGTTTTCCCAACCATTTCACTTTAATTATTATGATGGTACTCAGGCAACTAGGTGGCAGACTATTGGGATAAGGTAAAGGAATATTAGTCCTTTCCGTCCCCAAACAGAGCCTCATTTTTCATAGCCTCCCTCGCAGACGTTCTTAGGGGTTCGTCACGCGTTTCTGCCCCACGAACGTTGGGCTGACAACACCGGAAGATGATTGACTACTAAAAGACAAAAGAAGAAGTATTATTATTTTTCAGAATATTTCTGCGTTTTGATTGGCTAAAATCACACGCATAATTTATCATAACCAGCTACTGTTGACCAAATTTGGAAGATACTGATGATGTCAATCGTGCAGCAAAATTGCCAGATTGTTGAAGCGTTAACCGAGAAAAGCTGAGGACGAGGTTGAGTTGATACGAAATGGCAGATCTTTTTAGCCCTTTTCACAAGGAAGGTATAGGTGAACTTTTGAATAAAAACAGAGTTCGACGGACTGTAAAATAGACCTACTTTCTGGTACTTGTGGTGTAACCGAAGTAAAATTCATCTTGGGTCCACCGGCAAGAGAGGGACGTGTAACGGTCGGTGAAACACACTTCACTGAGCAAGATTTAACGAGGCCTGTCGAGTTGAGAATCTTGCACACTGAAAAAAACGTTTTGTAAAAAAAATAAGAATCCACTCTGTAAATTACAATGTTTAGCAATGTTTTACTCTACAGCATTCAAGGATGGAGTGTTTAATGGAATTGTCCATTAAGAAGTAAACTCTCCTTTTAACAGGGGGCGGGAGGGTTGAAGAAAACCCTTATTGAATATGGAAAAGAGACTTTGCGGCCATTGAAATTTAGCGCAAGAGCTTAATTGCTCTACAGTAAGTTATATTCCTGGGAAAACTACCCAGGTCCACTGGCGCACCTTGCAAGCAAATTTTCTTTTTATCATCTTGGGGCTCACCCCTTCTTCCCCCCACCCCCTAGCAAAAAAGGCTCATTTGCCCCCACTTTGTTCAAACTTCAACCTTATTTGGGGTGGTGAGGGCGGGAGGGGAAGGTCGCTAGTTTTACTATTATCACAGGAATTAGGTTTCAACACTTTAAATCTCCATTGTAGCTATTTTAAAGCTATACAGTTGTCCTTTTCTTACTGTTCAAATCGCTTCCTCCTTCACATAATAGGCTGTTTGAGCAGTTTTTTACTTCAAATTTTGTCGGGAAGTTTACACCAGCACCAACCACATCCTTCATCTGCCCTGTCACTGTCATGCATTTATCCAGGCCCATGGGGCATGTTTTGCTTTCAACATAGTAGTTGTCACATTTGCGTGCTCCCATGTGCGGAATATTGGTGCAAACCGGACACTTGATGTTAGACGCTGAAAAAAAAAGGAGCCAGTTAAATTTAACTTCAACAACACTCTTCCAGGGTATTCCCGCCTGATTACTCAGGGCGTTTTGGAACGTTTGACACTGGGGAATTGGGTAGGATGGGTTTTACTTTGCTTAGATGATCCATACGTTATATAGTAGGGAATTTGACTAAAACTGCTTCCAGTGTCAACTCTTGCACAGGGAAATGTTCGAGTCATCTTTTTAAATCTTGAGATGGCTTCTTCCACGTGTTTACAAAATCCAACTTTGGGTGTGCGCCATTATTTTTTTATTAATTTGGAAGATTGAGAATTCTGAAACCAGGAAGCTCAGAAAAAATTCCGCGCTCCAGATGAGAATCGGACTCACGACTCTCCGAGTTCTAGTTCGGATGCTCTAGGCACTGAGTTACTGGAGGTTCTATGGAGAGCGGGGTCGGAATTTAATTATAACTACACCAGTCATAGAAGACAGCATCGAGGGCTTGCTCTCTGGTACTCACGCAACCAGTTGTCAGACTACTGGAATATGGTAACGGAAAATATAAGTCTTTTCCGTCCCCAAAAAGAGCCTCATTATTCACCCTTGCAGGTCGGTGATCTCGGCGTTTAGAGCAATTTGACTGGTTCGCTATCTTGGACTATGACGTAGATGTTTTGCAGCTTGCTTTATTCTGTAGACTTTTCTTTATCAACATTGGTTCGAGCTTTATCAGAAGCACCACCCCGCAAGGGTGAGGAAAAAATGCAGTTTTTACTAACTGATTATGACGGGAAGGTAGAGCTGTGAAAACAGTAATACAACACTATTAATTGTGAGGGGAGGCACTAGTACGAGATTAATTTTCGCTATAAAAGTTTTCTCTCGTATTATCCAGAAACAGACAACCACGAAAGTTTCATCTTACTTTTTCCTCACCAGAAAAGTGAGCTCATTAAAGCTTACTTTTTATTCAACGAGCAAAATCTTTCTCCAAATCGACAAGTAATAAAATTTCACAAGTTTGATGACTTTTTTCCTCCTATATGCGACATTTTCCGTAGACCGTAGTAAATTGACGACGGCTATCACGTTTCCCGCCTTTTCAAACGCTAGTTCACGCACGCGCACTGCTTGTTATTGAGAAAATCTCGTCCTTGTTGTCGTCCCTTAACTTGGAATATGAAGGTCTTTAATGACCTGATTTCTACAACAAAGATACCTTTAGTTACTGGCTCCGCTGTGGACGGCTGTTCAGAAGATTCCTGATTACACATGTCACCATTACAACATGTGACCGTGCATTTAGCCCCGTCTGGCAGAGCACTCTTTCGGCAAGCTGCAAAGAAACACAATAATTTGGGTCATGTAGAGACAATGTGACGAAACAGGCTTTGTTGGGCAGTTGGTGGCCCAGTTTTGAACTTGGGCATTCTTTTGGAAGCTTGAGTAAACATCTTGCTCGTCAAGCGATCGATATCGTGTTCCCTTTCGGTTACAATTAGAAGTCATCTTTGGTGTTGTTGCATTCAATGTTGACACAGCCCAAAAGAGGTTGAAGTTTTTGAAATCCATTCGAAATATCCTCAAAATGTGGCAGCTGCCAGCAATACTTACGATAACCAACGCCACTCTCTTCACAATTCATCTTAGAATGTGAGCAGTTTTTCAACACCGAGGTGTATGGTCCAATAGCCACCGTGGCTGTCATACAGCGATCTGCATACGCATCACACTCGATGCTTGTTGCATTAGACCCATCACAAGGAACGTCACCGAAGCCACAAGCTTGGCACTTGAGCGAGGAAGCTGTGTTAAGAAATATACCATATCATTAAGTATAGAATTGCTTTAAGGTATGCAATTTAAGCATCTAGAAATTTCCGCAAAAAAATAATAAGAAATTGCCCTAACCAATATGAAACAGATTAAAGTTGCCCTAGGACGACTGAACAGAAACGCTAAGGGGGAGTGTATGGATCAACCCAGAAACAGCGATTTAAGTATGCGCAAAGAATAGGGGATTTGAGCCGTTTTTGTCTAAAATTCCGGTATTTCATGTCTGCAATCATGCATTTATCCAGTCCAAAGGAACATGTTTTGCTTTCAACATAGTCGCTGTCGTATTTTGCAGTGGCCGGGGGGACTGACGACTCTATTGTTTTCCAACTAAGTTTCTTGACACATCCCGTGTGCCAGTGTGATCTCACATAGTAACGGGCGAGAACTTCGGGTCGCATGTGCAAATTGGCAAGGGACACCATACGATCATTCGAACAAGAGAGGTCGGGGAAAAGATAACAAGCTATTGGAACAAATAATGCTATACATAGCTAATTTGATCATTAATGTGTGAGGTTTGTTGTTGCCTTCATGCACTTGTTAAAACCGTCTTGGTATTTTGTGTCCCTAATTGTATAATTTTGTTAATTTGTGTCGCAGGTCGAGTTGCTTAATCGCCATCTTCTTTACCGGACCAGCAGGGTCATGAAAATTTAGTTTCTTTTTTCTCTAAAATAGGCAACGTCTAGTCTCTAGAACAGGAGGTTCGATTCACAGATCACACAGACGTTTCTATTCCGTTTATTCTTTAAATCGACTGAGCTTCATATCAATACGTTGGAGTGTGGGCCTCTGTTGATTTCGTAATTCTCCACCAAATTTTACAGTTGGTGTGATTGATTTCTGTGTCTCTGATTCAGTGATTTGCTGACTGTCTCTTATCTATTGTTTACATCAATCGGCCCCTTGAACCAGAAATAATGCAAAATGGCTTGGAAATACGCGCTTAATCTAATTTTCCTCAAATACATCTCCACCAGCTTCAAACAGCGTCTATAGCAGAGAAAAATGCTTTAGATGTAACCAGAGGCATATACGCCCCCCCTCCCCCTTCCGAAGCGTCTAACTTCCCTTTATGAGTGTAAAACAATGCTGGGTTTTTTTTAGCCGACGCAGTCTTCCAATCAGAAGCACGGAAAATTATTTTGCCTAAATATGGAATCAGAAAAAAAGCTAAAAACGTTGAGCTTGCAACGCTTACTACATGTATGTCTACGACCGAAAGAAATCGTTTCGTGACATAAAAGACAAAGTAACTTAGTTATGCTGCTATAAAATGCAACCCTGCGAAAATATAAGGAGCCACAAAGTTATAAGCGGTATGGCTTGAAAACATAGACCAGCGACGAATAAGACAATGATATTTACATTTTTCTTCACGATATCGCAAAGCCTCTCGCCGAAATCAGCTAAAAGCATCTGCAGCCTGTTTGACCGACAAAGATCATCCTTAGGCTACTAGCTGTAAACCTATCCACCACGGCAAACCAGTTACAGGGGCACCCAACTAGAATATAGTTCAAAACCACTTAAACATAGCATTGTTAAACGTATTTTAGTATTTAAACGGTAGATATAGGCATATGTTAATTCCCTAAAAATTTTTCATCTGTTCGGATTTCCTAGCTGAAAGTCTAGTGATCCGAAAATTATAGGGATCAAAACTTACCTTTTCGAAAATTTCAGCCCGAAAAAAGGCTCACGAAAATTCTAGGTGACCTTTAAAGGGTAAAAATCCGTTAAAAATGGGTAGCTATAGTAGTTTTTAGATGTTCGAAAACCCTAGGAGAGGCAGGCAAGCAAAAAATTTTACAACAAATGTTCCGAAAATTCTAGATCTCAATCCTCCTCCGAACAGATATTTTCCGAAAATTGTCGTTGGGTGCCCCTGCAGTTATCTGCAACTTCTGTTCTCATTCAGCAAAACCACCATGGCGACTACAAACAAAATGATTTGGCAAGCTTTGCAGAAGCGTTGTGCAACGCGGGCGAAGTCGGCTTTTTTGTGACTGTAGATTTCTAAATTCATTCAGAACAGTACGCGAACACATGTATGGCAGTTTTGATTAGACGTGTGGCATGTAAAAGTTTGTTTTCTTTTTGGGGTCAAAGAAAAGTTTTAAGCTGCGAAATTTTCCTTTGAGACTTCGACCTGGTTTCTTTCACGGCGTAGCGCGATAGTCCTTTTCTGAAGTGCGACCAAGTCAGCAACCTTTTTAAAGAATTTTTAAGTAAACTTACATTTTACACATTATGCTCAAAGAAAGTACGTTATTGTTATTTCATAGACGGACGTTTTATATATTTTTGATAGAGTTTTCAAGAAGAATTGGAAAATGCGCCCGATCTGAGACAGATAATATTAGCGTTATAATTTTTGCCATGTGCTCAGCCGATTTTACTTGTGCGAACGGATCCGGCACGATCCAGTCAGTGTTATGTGAATTCCCTTTAACGGTAAACTTTTGCATTTTCGAATAAACATTTCCAGGAAACAATTTGTCTCTTTATTGTTTTCTGTTTGTTCATTCATCTGATTAGGCCATCCCCATAAAATGTTTCGTTTCCCATCGCCCGACCGACCCATTTTTTTGGAGAAGAAAAAAAACAAAAAAACAAAAAAACTCCAGAATCACTTGTAAAAAAGCAAGTACTTTAATTTACAAGCACACGATCTTGTCTTATTAACACCAATTGTCTTAAATTATCATCGATACTTCGTTTTTGTAGCCTTTTTAGACATTTGATAGTCCTGTTAATATACATCTTTTACCATCTGATTATATCTTGCAGACTAAACGTGAGATTTAATATGCAATAATGAGTCCATTCTTTTTTTTTTTTGCCCAACCGACCGACCCACCTTCACGAGAGGGATGGCGATGGGAAACGAAACATTTTATGGGGATGACCTTAGTTGAAAACATGATCGCCGGCATCTAAGTCTTATTAACTTGCGTTTCGTTCTAGCTTGTTATTACACGCATCATTCTGCGAAGATGTCAGCGAATTTTACACAACTTTCACTTTCGAGTTCAGAAACTTGTGAATTTAATTTGAAAATATGTGTTACTAGATATTCTAGATAGATAGTAAATGATTTTTTAAAGGTTATTTAAGCTAATGGTCACCCAAAGACCGTTTTTGAAGTAACAACTTTAAGAAATCGCTTCCCTTACGGTGCATGCATGTCATTGGTAGTCGACTTTGTCTTGTTAGGAGGAACTAACTCAGTCCTTGTTATTTGGGGTTTAATACTGTATTCCGTTTTTCGTCATATATAACCTCGTAAAACAGTAAATGCTTTTTGCAGCGCATCATTTACATCGTGATACAAGGTTTTCCTATAGAGCACTCGCGCGACAATCTAGAGACCCCCAGCATTGCGACAAAGTTATTGGTTCTAATGCGGGGTTCTATGCTTCTGATATAACAAATTTACTTCACCCAAAAATAAGTGGCTCCGTGGCACATTGGTATCGGAGTCGCCTGCACGTGCAGATAAACCAAGCTTTGTTCTTTTTCGATATTGTAATTTTTTTTCTGTTCATTTTTTATTTTTTAATCCTATTTTTCTCTTTCGCTTGTTTTCCTTTATTCTTACTTCTGACCCTTAACGGCCTCGTGAGGTTTTGCGATAACGTATTTCTAATAACTTTGGTTTCTTGTGTGGTTATTTGTGGGCTTTTGCGCTGTTTAATATTGGCTTTTTGAAAAATTGATTGTAGGGCAGTTTTGAATTGATTACAAATTGTTGCTTCTGCTTAATCCTTCGAGCTAAATTGTTGCAGTGGTTATTTTGCTGTTGTCATCGTGTTGTGTTAATCTTGCAGGCATTTTTGAAAATTGTTTGGTAGTTCCTCTAAAAAAGGAAAAACTACAATTGTATTGTAGTTAATTGTTAAATTTTGTTTGGGTTACTTGCTGCAGAAACGACTACATCCACATTTTCCTGCAAAAAAAGGTGCTTAAAACATCAAATCTGCTTCAAACAGCCCACAGGCGGCCCAAGGTCGGTGTATAAATTACGCGAGTTTCGATACTGATTTGCATATTACGAACAACTGTAAGACTTTGCATGAGAAATTCAATATGGTTGTTAAAACGTAGAAATACAGACATAAATAGAAGGGATTGATATGGGGATCCATTTACTCTGAAGAGTAGAAAATACGTAACTTTAAGTCTAGTATATCCTTTCATGAAACCCCTATTCTCTAATCTCGCTGTGCGGATTATTACTCGGGCTGATTACTCTATCAGATCATCAGATGTACTAAATTCTTTAGAGTGGTCAAACTTAGAAGAAGAAAAAGGCACTTATTAGTTACGATGTTTAAAATATTCAATAATAATTGTCCGACGTACCTTGGGAGCGGTTTCATAGAGCCTCTGAAATTCATGACTATAATTTGAGGAGTTCTAACTATGATCTCCAACTACCACTACCTAAAACAAATTTTCTTAAGCGTTCATTTACTTATCGGGGTGCAACGGCTTGGAACCAACTGTTAAATAAAACACGTGAGATGGGGGATCTTACTAGCTTTAAACTCGCCATTTCTGAAGATATAACTTTTTAGTATGTTTTTTTATCTTATTTCCTTAATACTCATCTCTTGCTGTTATATTGTATTTCAAATTATTAATTTTTTTACCACTATTATTAGTCTTGATTACCATATAAGCTAGATAGTTACGTTTATGACAGTCGATAGGAACAGATAAAATTGTCAATTCTTGTGCTAATTATTGTTAGTTAATCACTCGTCCTAATTTTTATAAATTGTAATTATCACACGGCATGTCTGAAAACCAGCTTGCTGAGCCATATACCGTGCTTAAATAAAGTTGATTGATTGATTGATTGATTGCACCGGCCTTTAAGTATGACCGGTCGAAATGAATGCTCGGAAGATTTGCTCGATGATAGAAAGGAATCTTTAAAATTCATTACACCACTGGACAATTCATACGAGAAAAAGTACCAAACACTGGTCTTCAATGACAATAGGGATTTTAACCCTCGGACGAACACGCAAATTCATACCCCCACCGTGGTATAAGGGGGAGGGGGGGGGGGTGGTAGATAGAACCCCTCCCCAGTTTTTGATATGTTATGTTATTTTACCTTTAGTGGGAAGCCTTTGATCTTCTTAAAAAGATGAGGTATATTTTTATTTTAGGGGTAGTGGCGCTTCTGGAGGCCTTTGACGTCACCAACAATGGTCGCCATCTTGGATTTTACCAAGAAGAAGAAATCAAGTTAAAACCGCTAGAAATGGTAATTTTTTTGCTTTTATTAAAAAATAACACATAAATAAGCACTTTGCATGATTTTAGGCACAAGATTTACTTTTATTGTTAAGATAACTTGAAAAAACATGTATTTTCACCCAAAATTGGCTTGAGCACCTGCTTCTTATGACGTCATAAATCGTAACCATAGCAACTGACTATCACTAAACTTGTCTCAAAATGTGCGTGAGGGATGAATGAACAGCTACTGAAAACGTCAGGTACTGATGTTTTATTCTTTAGGAAAAAACTCAGAAAAACCTTATGGGGGGAGGGGGTTATACGTCCGAGGGTTAACATGCCAAATTTAAGAAATCGGAACAGTATATCCGTGAAAAATTCGAACTTTTGATCCGTCTCTTCGACGAACACTTTGCTGGCCATTTTAAAAGTTACTGACGCGAGACGTGACGCATACCGGCACGAAGACTGGTTTCCTTGAAAACAACTCCCCTCCCTTGCCCCCCCCCTCCCTGCGTATTTGCTTACTCTCATTCGAGGATGTGAATCTTAATATCTCTATTAAGACAATCTCGTCCTCTTAGCCGTCCTTTAACTTAGAGCCTAAAGGTTTCTAATAACTTGATTTCTGTAACAAAGATACCTTTAGTGTCTGGCTCAGTGGTCGTCGACTCTGTGCCTTTTGGAGTGGGTGAAACTGTAGCGTCTTCAGAAGATTGCTGATTACACATGTCACCCTTACAACATGTGACAGTACAGTTAGCCCCCTGTGGCAAAACGTTCTTCTGGCAAGCTGCAAAGAAAGACAACAATTTGGGTGTCTTGAACATCACTTGATCATCACAAACGAGAAGAAAGTTAATAATGAAGAAACAAGATCATGGAACTGCTATCATCCCCCCTTCCCCCCTCCCCCCCGTCGGGGAGATTCTTCTATGGAAGGGACGGGGAAGTTCGTGGGAAAATTCGAATTAAATCTCTAAACGGCATTAATGTGGCCGTGGATGGCTTAGGCTTTATTTGTTTTTCTTTGGAAAGTTACTGCACGCGAAACCCAATCGAGAAAAACTAGACGTATTTTAAGAGAAAAGGCGGGCTGCAAGCAGTCTACTCCTGACCAATAAAGAGACTTTGATGCGGCAGGAAAACAATTCCCGAAACAAACTGAGACCTTTAGTGTTTAAAATTGCGTTAGGGGTGTAAGCATTCAATGCTGTCTTCAAAACAGTCTTACGGTATTTTGTTTTCATTGCATATATTCTTTTGAAGCTACCCTAAGCGATAGCTGCACGGGCTAAAATCGTAGCTTTCCATCCCGGCTGAACACCCTTATTTTACCTCTAGGGCCTTGGCCAAAAGTCGAACTTTTTACTTAGGGCGTTTCCATCAGTCAACCAAAACTTTCGGAAAAAAAAACTCTTGAATTTCCGAAATGCGAACCATTCAACCGTAAATTTTAGAAATTCCGGGAGCAAAGTTGAATGGAAAGAAAACTTCCGGTAAAAGTTTCTGAAAATTTGGGTATACCTCGCGAGGTTGTCCTCTTTTTGGAAATTTTGGAAAATGCTGTTCCACTAGCTACTGGAAGTTGCCGAAATTCAAACCGGACTTTTTGGTTGAATGGAAAGCGCCCTTAGCCAGTTAAGTTCATGCAAAGTTCGACGTCTGGCGCAGTGAAGTTCGTCCGAATGAGTTTGGATCGTCCAACATGTTCTAACCGTCGCTTCAGTCGGATGGAACGTCTGAAGGATCACAGCTAAACTAATGAATTAAAAATTTGTGTGATAATGTATATTTAGCCTCGTTCGAGAGAAAATTTATTAAAATTGCTTTTTAGGTTGATTTAGTTGATTGGGTTGACGCGTCTCAAGTTCGACGTCTGACCAAACAGACGATCTTAACTTAATTTAGGTCGACGCAAATTAGAGTTTGGTTCGTTTCATGCGAAATTCGACGTTTGGTGCAGGCCTAAGCAAGACGACGAGCATACTCGACACTTCTCAGTATGGGAGTTCGCCCCCTCCCTCTTCCCGTCTGGCCTATAACTGGCGCATAATCGCGGGAAATGGGGTATCAACAGGTCATAATAGTTTAAGGCTCAACTTATTTTGGCAAGAGGGCCACCTGAACTAGTTCACAAAACATAAGTTCAGCAATATGATACTCAGGTCTAAACCACTCTGGCCGACATACCATGTGACGTCTGTAAGTTCAGAGCATTATGATTACGATATTAAAATCAAGAAGACAGCTTTAAATTTAAATAACCTGCGGGCAAGCGATGAAAGTGGTAGGGGATTGGGGGGAGGGGAAAAAGGGAGGGGGATTGGGAGAGAGGGTAAGGGACGCCTGCAAAAAGAACCCCCTTTATTCATTTCTGCGGACGCTGGCGTCCGCAAGATCCTGATTGGCTGAGCCGTAATGAGTAACTTATTGAAGTGCATTAGTAAGAAACAATCGCCTTGTTGATGAAGCATCAAAGGAAATTAAGCATTAGCAGATCAAAATTACTCCAATAACGTGAGAACATCTCGTTGAAACCCGAACTAGAACCAACTGTAATAGCTTAGTTAGCAAGCAGCGGATGCTCTTGAGATTTTGTATACTGGATTTGTCCAAACAGAGCGGCGGTTCGAGGCGATTCTTGTCGTCTACAACGCCGATGTTCAAAGGCAAGAGCACACAATTATGGGAAGAATTTTAGAAGCTGGAGACACGACTTTTCCGGAATCATATCCGCGTTGAATGAACTTCGAAACAATTTGTAGAAAGATCTAAAGCTTCACTAAAAAAATCCGTTGAGCTTTCTGACAAATGTATATATAATTCTCCTTTCATAAATTATTCGAGTTTCAGGTTGGCGACTCTTCTGTACTTTACGGCCATTACGTTTGATGAGGCAAGACCAAAGTTTTGTTCTGTATTCACACGAAACTTATCATTGCCTGTCGTGTTTCCTGAGTAAGAACAGTACCTGAAAAGTTTTATTTTGCACGATTATGATTTCATTTGAAAAAAGCGTCTTGACTTCACAGTTTCCCGTTAACAAAGTAATAGTTTGGAGCATGCTGGCCACGTATTGACAGTTGATTGGTGGGAGGAATACAAAAACACGGGCTCTTATATCAGGGGCTCCCTTCCTATTTCCCTTTTCCCCCTCCCCCTTACTTTCCCCCTCCCTTTTCCCCTCCCCTTTCCTTTACCCCTTCCCCTTCCCCTTTCCCCTCCCCCTTTCCTTTTCCCTCGCCCCCTTCCCTTTTTTGCGCCTGCCACGCAGGCTAAATTTAACAAAAGTCCCAAAATGTGTCAGCTGCTTTACTTACGATACGCAACGCCACTCTCTTTACAAATCATCGTAGAATGCGAGCAGTTTTTCACCACAGTGGTGTATGGTCCAAGATTTGGAATATTCGTGGTCATCGTGACTGTCATACAGCGATCTGCATATGTATCACATTCGATGCTTCTTGCATTAGACCCATCGCAAGGAACGTCATCAGGGCCACAAGCTTGGCATTTGAGCGAGGAAGCTGTGTAAAAAAATATACCACATCGTCAAATGCAATTGCTTTAGGGTATAGTTACAGTAATAGCTTCTAAAATTTTCAGGATAACAATAAGGCTCTAATCAATTTTAAATGGATAAAAGTTGCTCCAAGACCAGATCGGGGGTAGGGTGGGTGCTACACCCTCAAAGAGCTATGTAGGTGATTGTTGGAGCTGCTTTTATCTGGAATCGGGTAATGTTTTTTAGCTCCAAATGAATAATAATTTTCAGTGTCAAATATTATTGAATGATAATACTTCAAAAAGCAATGGGTTGGCAAACCGAGTAGCAAGAAGATAGTTATGTGAATGTTACCAGGATATTTCATGAAGTTAACCTGATAATTTGTTGTATATACACTTCTGGTTGTAATTTAAATCTAGTTCAAAAAACAAATCACTGTACTAACGTCTTCAAATTTACGTGTAACTTTAAAATAGCGAAAGCTTCTAGTGTTTCGTTTTGCTTGTTATTAGATTTCTTTTCTATTTGTGATATGTGTAAAATATCGCCTTTGTCTTGTCTTGTCCCGCCTAGATTAGTTTAATAGCTATTTGCTGGGTATCCAATATTGTAAAACGTTATCTTTTGTTAATAAATAAATTATTGTTGTTGTAAACCAAGTGGTTTGGTTTTTGGAGCGCAGGTCTCAAAATGGGTATATGAAAAAGAAACATGTCTAACTCCGAAATAGTGTCAGGGTTTGAACCGCGGGACACTCCAAAAACGTTTGCACAAGGACAACCCCGCCAAAATGACGCTGGTTCACGGGGGCGCACAAGGGGCGCACTACTTGCTATTGAGAAAATTTCGTCTTCGTAGTCGCCCTAAACTTAGAATCTAAAGGTCTCTAATGACCACTTAATTGAGTTCTAAAACAACAGTACCTTTAGTTACTGGCTCAGCTGTTGACGGCTTTGTTGGGGCCTGTTCAGAAGATAGCTGATTACACATGTCGCCCTTACAACATGTGACAGTACAATTAGCCCCATCTGGCAAAAGACTCTTTCGGCAAGCTGCAAAGAAACACAATAATTTGAGTTTTGATGGAAATGAAACAAGGCAAGAGGCCGTAACCCCCCCAACCAGGGGGGAGGTGATTATTCTATGGAAGGATCGGAAAAGCTCGACGGAAAATTCGTTTTAAGATTAAGTATGGGCGTGGTTCAGATTTCAATTGGCGCCTAAAAATGACTATAACAAAACAGGAAACCATATCTCGGAACAAATTAAGAACTTTAAAAGTAATCAAAATTGCTTTAGGGTTGTCAGAAATCAATGCTGTATTGAAAACAGTTTGACGGCGTTTGGTTGTTTGTACAAAAAATATCAGCTTTCCGTCTTGAACTCCTTAAGTGAGACCAAAAACAGCAATTTTTACCCCTAACAAAGACGACTGTAGCTAAAATCAAAATCATCGTCCTATCAATCCCTATTGCTCCCACAACCGCCTAGAAAATTATGCGTGTAGCCTTTATCCCCCCGGGGGGAGGGGTACTCAACAAAAGTTTTATAAGGGGAGGCCCCGTCCTTAGGTCCTGAGGCGCAACCCCTCATCCTATTATAAACCATATTTGACAGAAAAGCACTCCATTCGTGTACCCTCTATTGAAAATGGCACCCCTTTTCACATACCTAGTTTAGAACCGTGTACCCCCTTAAACTGTCCTTTAAAATATGAATAAACGTCAAAACCAAAACGTGTTTCCAACTTTTTTACAACTATAAAATGCATCTGTTAGCCCTTCTGGGTTTTTTCAAAGAGTGAAATGACAGATTTTCCTATCCTTTCATATACCTCCACAGACGAAATCTTTACTCTTACATTTACCTGAGGCCTAAAAATGGTGCCCTTTCCCGGGGGAGCCTCCAAGTATAGGCCATTTTAGGGAGTACCCCCCTCACTTCCATGGACTTTTATCAAAATATTTCACGCACGTGTAATGAGGTCACAAATGTGTTGTTCCATGCTCGCTAAATTCTCCTCTCCACTGTTTTACAGTACAAAATGAGTTTGTTTGATTGCGATTTCATGGGTGAATCTAGCCACACCTATGATTAAAAGATGAATCTCTTTCGCGAGCAACTGCTTTCATGTTCAAGCTAGGTAACGTTTAGTCAATTTTAGTGTTATTCACGGTATTCATTGTTCGGTTTTCTCAAAATTTGCGGATTTTGATGCACGGATGAGAGCGCGCAAATGGCTTAAAGTAATTAATTTCATACCAAGGGACATCTGTAATCAATTATATAATCCTGTGAGGTCAGAACGAACGTGACATTTTTTATATAATCCAGGAAAAATTAATATGACAGCTGCTAGCTATACTTACGATAACCATCGCCACTCTCTTTACAGATCACCGTAGAATGCGAACAGTTTTTCATCACAGAGGTGTATGGTCCAAGATTTGGAATATTCGTGGTCACCTTGACTGTCATACAGCGATCTGCAAAATCATCACACTTGATGCTCCTTACATTGGAACCATCACAAGGGACGTCACCAGGGCCACAAGCTTGACACTTGAGAGACGAAGCTGCGTAAACAAATATGAGATATCATCGTCAAGCAGGATTTGAAAACATCAAACTTTCAAGATTTTTGAAAAATAAGAAGAAAGCCCAGGGCGGCCGAACATATGCCTGGGGCACGAGGAGGGGTGGAACACGCCTGAAATGGCTATATGCCGGGGTATGTGCCACCCCGGCCAAAGGTTAGGGATTTTGAGCCGTTTTGATCTGAAATCAGGTATGGACTCTTCATCTCAAAATGAATAAGAACTTTCATTTTCAAATACTACTTAACAAACATTTCTTTACTATAAGTAGTATGATACCGAGTACAACTTTTATTAGCCAGGACCGAATACGGGTATGGAAAAATGGAATGTTTCAATCTGGAATAGGGTCAGGTTTGGAGGGGGGTTTGGAGAAACAGACGGAATACCTTATGAACGAATTGACGGTTAACAAAACCAGATAAAACCAACAACGAAGCTACACACTTATGATAAAACTAGCGATATATAGAACTATTTGCTAGCTTTTTATCTTCCCTCCGACCTCCCTCGTTCTAATGACTGTGGTGTCCCCTGCTCATTTGCACAAGCGACCCGACGCTGTCGCGTGTTTCTATGTGACGTCAGACTAGCGCGCGGAATGTGTCAAGAAACGTACAGTTGGAAACAAGAGAGAATCTCTTGGTTGGAAAATAATAGTAATAAGAACAGACTCGCACGAAATTCCAGGTAAATGATATACTCTGTTTAGAACAGACTGGCGCGAAGATAAAAAACATAATATAAACTAGTCCACAGCGACAATTTAAACCGTTGAGTGATGCTGGATCTCTTAGTTGTAAACCTAGATTGGTACGGTTTGTAGAAAATATAAAACGGCAAACTGATCCTCACGGCAAGGCGATGAAGAAGTAAACAAAAGAATAAAACAACCAAACAAATTAGCCCAATATTTCGGTTAGAAAACAAACCTTCGTCAGGGGCTAAAAGAGAAATGAATCGAAAATGAAGATAAACTAAAAGTTCGCAACGTTCGTAACGTTCTCTGTCCAGCTATATATATAAGGGAGTACCTCCTCGGGGTTCTAGGAACACGACAATCTACAATGTACTCCAAACAAGAAGTACGATAACTCCCCTACCCACCCCACTCCCTTTACCCCTTATCTTCTTTATTTACCTTTCTAATTTAAGTTGGTCAGGATCCAGCTACAACAATACGCGCTCTTAAACCTATCTACATTTTCACTTTGTAACGTAACATCGTTTTGTTTTTCTCCGGGTTAATCTTTCCTTCGATTGCGAAAATGCAGCTATATTCATTGCGTAGCCTCGCAACTGACTCTAACAATGACTTGGACATGGTAACCGACGGACTGAGACCCTTTGTCGACATGTGAAAAAGGTAGCAAAAAAACCGGACTTAAGGCGCAGTAGTAACGTATGACCCGGGGGGGGGGTACTCCCCTATAAAAATGACGAGGGTGCTCGTCGAAACATTTCGAGAACAATTCTAAAAGGTACCAGAATCTTGTTTTATGGGCGTGTCCCAAATTCATTTTCACCCCTAAGAGGTACCAATTCAACAACAACAAATTATAATAACTGGCACTGTAAATTTTCATAGTAGTAAAGATAACTTTCGGACACTTTCTTCTCGAGGACTTTTTGAAAATACTGTCAGAAATATTTCTCCTAATAAAGCATATCAACAGTCATTTTAGGTTTTAGTACCCTAAGCGGTACCAATCCACAAATTTTTAAACCCCTAAAAGGTACGACGAGCACCCTCGTCACTTTTTTGGGGGAGTACCCCCGCCCCCCGGGACTTATGATTCCTGTTATGCTTAAGACGATCCATTAAACTAGATCTCGCAACGAGTTTTTTGGTACGCTTTTCTGTAACTCTAAAATATTAAACTAATACATTAGTTCCCTCTTATTTGACTTATTAAGTTAGATTCGATTCCGGCTGGAATATCAAAAGCTTGCGTCAGTGGGATCAAAGGCGAACGACGCCCTTCTGTCGCCTTTTTTTGTGTTATTTTCTGTAAAGCTTTCTTTCCTTATAAAATGGCTCAAATCCACGGTCAGACAAAAATTATTATCCTGCTATTAATCCTTACTCACCAACAGATGATATGCGAAGGATCAGGAAGCAGGCAAAAACAAAATTTGCTACCATAGTTAACGTTTGATGCTCGCTTTGCGGCGGGATCGACGTCTGACCGACTGTGAGACAACCTGCCTGTTAAGACTTGAAGATTAGGATTGCCAAATTATTTATACGTAACAAGGAGCACTATCATGTAACAAAATAAATGACGGCACTTTTAATCTCACCACAAGGCAGAAAAAGTTTTCAAGCTGTCACGGTTCAGTCTGGTTGCATGTTCAAGGAAGTTCCGCTGGAGAAAGACTCTAACAATGGCGTCATGTAAAAAGTGAGCAATAAATTACTTTTGTCGTGAAATACCGTTAGCTAAATTTTTACAGACATAGGACGAAACTCGTTTGAAACTCGATAGGTTGGCCCCGGGAGCTTGGCCCCTTGGTGTTACCGGAGTCTTGTTGGCCTGGTGGGTGGGAAACTGCATTTAATCTGTACGAAATTTAACTCTGGAGAGCAGAAAAATGTAGTAAAATGAAATAAAATATCCAATGTTGACGACTCTGGTCCTTTTAAAAAACAAAGATTGCGCAAAACGCAAGAATAGAATGAAAGGGCGGGGGGGGGAGCACTTCCAAAAAAACCCTATAAGACATGCAACAACAACAAGTTTAAGCTGTCACGATTGCTCTGGTTCCTTAAGCCCATCAAGGCAAATGTTCTGTTGGCGAAACACACTAGCCATGGCGTTCATGTAAAAAGTCAGCAATAAATTACGTGCCTTTGTTTGCTAGATTTGTAAAGGAATAGAAACTGGGAGCTTGGCCCCTTGTGAGAGTAGAACTAGTGTTTTTGATGTTATCGGAGTCTTGCTGGCCTGCAGACTGCGAGCAGTCTCTTATTTTTCTTTTGAGTCACGGAGATCGAGAGCACGCGTGGGGGCGAGCAGCGAAGCCGCTAGGAACGAGGGCGGAAGCCCGAGCAAAGACAAAAATGAGATAAAACCAGGGGTTCCATATTTGAGGTGAAGTGCTGCCGCATGTAGAAAGATCAAGGGGTTGGACAGGTGGTAATTAATATATCTCAGTTGTGGATATCACAGGGTCTTCAAGATAGTAGGATTAGAAAAAGGAGAGAGTAAATTGATGATGTATAAAATACAATATAATTTTGAAGTTGAGTTCTGTTGTAAATTTTAAGCTTGTTTTATCTTCATCTTTATATTGACTATAATTCGAAACCTGCTTATTCTTAGATTTATTTTCAAATGAAAACACAGGACATTCTGCAAGCAATGAATGCCAAAAGATTTTAATCAATAATGAACATACATCAATATATCAGTCTCAATGTTATTTTATCCGTATGTATAATGAAAGGTTGTATAAAAAATGCATACTGAAAAATTAGGTTGGATTGTTATTGACAGATACACAATAAAGACTTACGTATACAGTGAAATATTGGAAAAGGCTTAAAGCGTCTTCGATTTAGTGAATTGTCACTGAATTTGTTTCACTGAATTTGTTTCTGTTGTAGTCATTATTTTACTTCATGAGATCAATACAGAAAAAGTATTTTTAATGAACAGGAAATTCTTAATTCAGTTTGCTCACCTCGGTAAGCAATTCGCTTGTTTCATTCGCCTCTTTGCCAAGGCAAATTATGACCTCAATTGTAATTCAGTTTGTTCACCTTGCTGCTTCATTCCCCTCGTTAGAAAAAGTAATGAACTACAATAGGAAGGTTATCTGCTAAAAAAAGACGATTTTGCTGAGTTGATTGTCTCGGGCGCTTTGAAACAAATTGTCTCCTCTTGACAAGATTTCATCGATTGTGTTCGTGAACCACAGCGATCCATAACTGATAACTGGTTGGGCTCATGGAACGGCAGTACTGCGAAACACATGAAAGAACATTGTAATTCCCTCGAATCCTCACTTTAACTTTCGCTACGTTCCCAACATACTTAACTTTACAACTGACATGATAAGCAAATGAGAATCTTACCGGCTGCATTGCAGCCGAAAATATCAAACTATCCCTCGCACTCGCGTCCGCGTCCCTTTTTTCGACTTCTTCCTCATACATAACACTCACGAATCCTGACGAATGTCTAACCAGGAGGGTGCTAAGAAACTCTATAACAAGTTTATCGCCATTTCCTTTTAACAATGTGTGCTGTTTTAAAGCGTGCTCAGAAAGAATCATAGACTTTCACTTTCTTAGCAGTCACAACATGGTTCTCGGATAAAATTTTGGCTGCCATTTCATTTCGCTGCATAGGATGCTGACAAACAGCGAAGCAAACTTCCCGACAAATCGAGTTTTCAGACGTTTTCAAGACAAAAATAGGTAGCTTCCCTGTGGGGGCAGTAATAAGAAGTCATTTTTCCTCTCTCTGCCCAATCTCTCCTCCTTTTCGCTCGCCGCGCGTGTCAATGAGGAAAGAAGGGCGTCCGTTCGCTGTCCAGCCAGGGTGGAAAGTCGATGCACGTAATTTAACTCCGGAGAGCAGAGAAATGAAGTAAGGCAACTTAAAAGGAAATAAAATACTCACTTTTGAAGACTTTGACGACCTTTGACCGTTTTATTTAACACAAAGTGGATTACACTGTGGTACCTTATCAGGCTTCAGGTACGTCAAACAGTAGGGAATTTACGAGTTGAAATTTACGGAAGGGTAGGAAAAACTGTCTTTAAGTAATTTAAAATGTCCTTTATTAAAATGCTTTGAAAAAGCGAGCCTTATTTCTATATCATTTTTAATTATTTAAAAACCTTACATTAAAATGTCATGAAGACATCCTACTTTAGCGATTTACTATGACTTATTAAGAGCGGCTTTCCGTAAATATCGACCCACGGTCGGCAAAAACTCAAAATTTGATTTCGCTCATTGTTGGCTCATCGATAACTCTTGACGAGTAATGAAACATGCTGTAGTTAGTTTTCCTAACTATCGTGTTCTTTTGTTAAAATTCAAGAAAACTCATTTTGCCCGTTCGGAGCTCAAAATCCACTTCCGGTAAAGCGAAATTTTACACAAACAACGATTTGGCAGTCTTTGAAGAACACGAATAGTTTTAATGACCCTTTCTAACTTATAAAACGATACATTTGTGAAAGCTGGAAACTTTTTGTGGCCAAAAAGGTATTGTTAAAAATAGGCCCTAATGGCAATTTTTACCGTTCAAAATTATGGGGATAGAATAATGCAATTTTTAACCACGTGCTATAACTTAGAATTTCGCAAATTGACTCTCTACGGCATTACTAGGCCCCAATCTATCAGAAAAATTGAAACAAATCTCTGGGCAAACGATTTTAAGTAGCCTGCAAGACCACGAGTTCAACCCTAATTTTGCGAAGAATCGGGACATTCCAGTGGTTAAAAATAGCGTGACACGACCCGTCACGCCAGTGTTACCGATAGATACGCTTTAAACAATTTACTTCAAGGCAGATTAAAAGCCAATTCGAAATTAAATCTTCAGTAAACCGATTATTCTTATTGATTGCAGCATTTCCTTCATAGACAACATATAGAGACTGACCGAAATAGCGTCACACACTTTCACGTTCAGCTTTCAGACTAACTCGATTTCCCTCAAAAAATGTTATATAAACAGACAAAAATCTGTTTACTGAATGAATTTTTGCATTGCGGGATATTTACGTATTAAATCATCGCCAAACAATGCCATTTGGTTTATAAAAACTAATTTCCTTGAAGCAATTAAATATTTTCGACTAAGTATTGGTGTATAGTTCTTTTCGAAGTTTTTATCCTTGCGGGATCTCAAAACTGAAAAAAAGCTACTCACTAGTACGTGGATGCCAACGTGTATGATAACGTGTATGAATCATGAAGCTACTGATGAAGCAATAGAAAACGTTTTCCGTGTTTGCATAGCCTGATATAAAGTTATGCAAACCCTCGACTTCGTCTCGGGTTTGCATAACTGTCTCGAATTCCCCAACCCCTCGAGTGTTTATATCAGGATATGCAAACACAGGAAAAAAAGTTTTCTATTGCTTTTATAAAATAACTTTCCCCAGAAAAAAAGCAAAACTCTCTTGTTTAGAGCACTGATTAATAGACAAATTCTTACCAGTCGCGAAGTCTTGTACACGAAGCTTGTACGCGTAATCAGTCCTTGTTTTGCAAAACAGATGCTTTCCAAAATACGGTTTTTTTTCTTGCTTAAAATGTCAGCTCAAGCGAAAAAAAAATGACACAGCATGTTTCTAAAAATTTTCCAAGTTTCAGCCGGCGAGGAAATGGGTGAATAAAGTAAACTTGTCGAGGTTTTCAACTCAAAACCTTTTTCAAGTTAGTGCTTGTGTGATTAGCGCGCGAAAAGCAAAACATCTTGATGTCACAACCATGTTTACATACTCTCCTGCAAACACGCCTCTCAGCCAATCAGAGCGCACGTACTATCTTAGTTATTTTATAAATGACTCTATATATGAGCCATTAAAACAAACTAAGAGGTCGACATTTTGGTGCTTTGCCGGGCTCACCATTATAAACTCAGTTTCGTGTAATTGTTTTTTTACGTTTCAGTGGAAAATCCCTGAAACAAACGGAACGTCTGAAAAAGCATTCCTGTTTTCCTGGTTGGAAAATTACAGGCGGAAATTCGGATATCATGTCTTCAAACCTTTTTTGAATATTAGTTTCACGCTTTCGCGGCCTATTTTCGTTAAACGAAACTGACTTAGGCAAATGGTAAACGCGATTACCGAACGGAATCAAAATTCATCAGTCCTGAATTCTGTTCACCATTTGCCCAAACCGTGAAGCGACCGGTTTACCCATGAAAATAGTAAAAAAGCCTTGTGTCAAAGGCCTGCGTTACAGCTTCTTCTCATCACTATCTGCCGCTAGAGACATTTCGTCAAAGCGCAGAGAGAGGCGGGTGTATTGCAGACTATGCGTTATATATCTTAGGTACCTTGAGGGGCCTTGTTATATGCATAGTAGATAGTAGCAATGGAAGATCGTTGCAATATCTCCAATTACTCTTTAACAGACACCAACAGTAAACTCGCTATTCCTCAATCCCCAGACAGATGTTAAGAAAAATAGCTTTTCTGAAGCAGTTCTTTGGAATAGCCTCTCTATTGACCAGCGGCAGGCGAAGTCTCTTTGGCTTTTGGGGGCTGGCAGCAAACAATTCTTCCGGAGGTCTACACGGTACTACGGTAAAGCAGACTAAGGCTCTCAGTCTAATTCAGTTTTGTGACAAACACTACTGTAAGGTTTTGGAGGCCTTGATTCTTAAACAGGTTATACAATTCCAAGTAATGGTCTTGAACATGGTATTTTTGTAGACGAAAGGCCTTAAACAGGGCGTAGACATTGGCGGTGAGCCGTCTACATGTGCGGTACCAACCGTGAACTTTTAAAAAATCTAATAAGTGAATCTTGTTTCTTTTCCATGAAAAATAAAAATGGACTAGAAGGGTCATCAAAATTGGTCTTTTGTCTCACAAAACAGGAAAATTAAATGAATGGTTTTTGTCTTAAATAGAGTCAGGATTTGAAGGTATTCTGCGTCGAGCGCGTAAGTTTCTTCCCAAGCCAACTTGTCAAACGCTCTACAATACTATAGTCTTGCCATTGTTCGATAACTGTTCGTCTATCTAGTACAGTTGTGGGGTTGGGAGCAAAGCTTATCTAGATAAACTAAATAGACGCGCCGCATGTATTATTGAGGGTCGATCTATCGAGGCTGAGGAGTTACAATCAACACTTGGCTGGCCCAGCCTACAAGCAGGGCGCAGAAATTATCGCAAATGCGTCTTAGTCCATAAGTATCTTCACGGCATAGCGCCTTCATACTTACTTTCAGAGTTTAGGCACACGCACCTTTTCCATGGCTATAACACCAGAAGCCGAGATTTGCTGCCCCCTCCCTTCGCAAAAACTACTAAATACCAATGTAGCTTCAGAATAAACGGTGCTCGGACCTACAACGCCCTACCAATCATTAGACGAGTAGAGATGTTCAGTGAATGTAAAATCCAACTAAAGCGCCATTTTAAATAGGAAGGCCCGCGGTACATGTTGCCTTTGTAACACAGTTAATTTTCTAGTTTTAATGTTTTAATGTCTTTGTCATTTGTGTTGTGTCAGGCCTCCATTTAAACTAGCTCTGCTAAATTGTATGCCCCTAGATAAATATCGATTTAAAAAAAAAAAGGCCTCAGCTGCATAACCACTACCGAAACTTTCAATGAGTGCAATCCAAGGGGCTTATCCGTAGTATATATAGCATGGGGAAATACATTTTAGAGGGTACCATGGGCGTCTAAGTTTCATGGACTAAGGCTACGGAGGATCAGGAAAGTCCTCAAGTCTGTCTTTCCTTTTTAAGTGTTCCAAGTCGTTCGTTACAAGATTCTTCTTAGGTTTAGTATTATGTTGAAAGGAACTTTCAGTCCTTTAACATGTTATCTGCAGTTCAGTATTACAGCAAACAAATGGGTGGGAGAGTGAGTGAGACTGGGGCTGGAAGCGAAAAATACGTCTAAAAAATAAGATAGAAACTGGCGAACAAAAAAATAAAAGAAAGAAACCAAGAAAAAAAAATTGACAGTTTCGCAGTCTAAAAGCAGTTGAAAAGTTAGTACTACCACATCCGCTCCTACTGATCAATAATTAAGAGCCAAAAGCGCTCGACGCTCAAGTTGAATATATACCATAAAAAGCTAAAAATAAAGAAATGCACGTAGTTAACCTGTAACAGGCCTTCAAATAGTTGGAAAAACGGAAAGAAAAGTGAGCTACAAAAAATGGTGGAGGGGCGGGGTAGGGGAGAGTGGGAGAAAGAACCTCTTTTCCTCCTCCTACTCTCTCCCTCTTAATCCCTTCCACTTTTGTTTTCCTCCGTTCTCGATTTGGCGCCACTGTCCACTGTCCACTGTCCACTACGCCTGGAACAGGCTAGCTCATAGTGGGCCAGAGAGTTTGCTCCAATGCTGCTGCAAGGGATCTATAGATGTCCATTTAGGAGCATTTGACATTTTAAAAGCTCATACTCACGCTGCAACTATTCCCGCTTTAGCATTAGTAAAACGCCACTTTTTTTGTCTGTTTTCCGTTTTGCTGTAGAGGAAAGTTTTTGGCAATTTGCTTTTGATGATGGTGTTTCATCGTCGATCGAAACGAGTTAAAATATTTTCCAAAACGTTCGTTACAAAGTACCTTTATAAGCGTGATAGTAATACATCGAAACGTACATGTATACTTATAGACCTTATACATAATTACTTGAAAGAGAAAACTCGCAAGAAAAAAGAAAGTGAAGTGTTCTTAGTTAATATTGGTTGTCTCCGTCTTAAATTTAACGTATATATGCCTTTTGACGGATGCTTAAATTAATAAAACACATCAATGTACTGGTTTAAAGTCTGTTCTCGTTGGGCTCTGTCGTCGACGTTTTGCCGACGTCGCTCAAAAAAGCCGACTTTTGGGCAATTCTGCACTATATATTGTATCCAAACAAAATGATCATTCTAAATAAGATAAGTGTATTGAACGATGTAATATAGATTGTATGCTGGAATTTGGCATGTGATCAACGTTGAATAGAATGTTTAAAGTGTATCTGTTGATAACACTGCCAGGAGCCACTGCTGGCGTGACGGGAATGTCGCGATTTTTCGCAACATTAGGGTTGAACTCGAGGTCTTGCGGGCTACTTAAAATCGTTTGCCCAGAGATTTGCTTCAATTTTCTGGTCGATTGGGGCCTAGTTAAGCCGTAGAAAGTCAATTTGCAAAATTCTAAGTTATAGCGCGTTGTAAAATTTTGCATTTTTTATCCCTATAATTTTGAACGGTAAAAATCATATTACCCTTTTGGCCACAAAATTATTACAGCTTTCACAAATTTACTGTCTTATAAGAAAAAACGGATCATAAAAACTATTCGTGTTTTTCAAAGGCTGACAAATCGTTGTGGTTTGACGTACGAGTCAATTAAATTTATGTAAAATTTCGCTTTACCGGAAGTGGAAATAAGCTCCGAACGGGCAAAATGACATGAAATGAGTTTTCACGAATTTTAGCAAAAAAAACAGCACGTTATTTGGGAAAACTAACAACAGCATGTTTCATTACTCATTAAGGGTTATCGACGAGTTAAAAATGAGCGAAATTCGAATTTTGAACTTGTGCCACAAAAAGTCGATTTTGGTTGATATTTACAGACAGTCGCTCTTAAGTAGGCATATGAAGGATGTACCATTGTTCAATGTGAGACATTCAAAAGGGGGTCCTTTTCTGTCAAAAACATTCTCTTGGATGGAGTATCATAGGTATAAATGTTCATATAGCAAGAATGAGAAATTAAGCCTAATTCTAATGGAGTTTTACCAACATTTTCCATGGATGCTCTTAATTCTGAAATGGTGGTTTGTTCAAATTTGAAGACCGGTGAGTTAGGATTCACTGGTTTTTCAATTACCCATATTCTAATCATCATCATCATCATTATTATTATTATTATTATCATTATTATTATTAATATCATTAATATTATTACTTTTGATTGAAAGTACACACTGACTGCTATGAGAACCTCTGCGATTTTTTGTTTTCTTCCATTAACACAATGTGAGTTTTTTTACAGTTTTTTTTTTGAAATTTTCAAACTTGCCGCCATTTTGGTACTGCATTCGTCTTTGTTTTCTCTCAGAAGCCCCTCAGAAACAAAGGAGTTCTGACGTCAAAAAAAAAAGCCCATAATCTCTTGATGATGTAAATTAAGGAACAAGTGAACAAGTGAAGAGGGTCAAAGAGTGTGGAGTTCTAGAAATATTTCTTACAATTCAAAAACTGACAGAACTGTTACGGTTTAACATGCCAATAAGATGCGTTTCATTTAGATGCAAGAAAACTGGCGACCCTAAGAAAGGGATAAGCATGCATTCAGGTTTTCAGTTCCTGATTTTAAGTCTCTTGACGTCACACATGAGCCTGCCAACCTCATGATCAGCAGAACGGGTGTGCCAAAGAAATTTAGACTTACAACAAAGCTTCCATTTATATACTTCTAATAAAAGTTAATGACCAGTGAATAACTTTGAACTTATACACTAAAGCCATGACAAAGAAATCTTCAAATCACTGCTTAATTTTAGGAGCTTTCCATTTACCTTTTTAGAGCGGGGTTGGATGGTTTAGAGAAAAATATATTTCGCAAACGCAATTGAAATGAAAATAACACTCTTATCGAACACATGAAAAGAAAAGAATGCTTGTGCAGCCTCAAACTACATCACCAGGCTCCCACTACATCAGCTTTGTTAAGTTGTTGGTCAGCTCCTAAATCGTTTAATTCATGATACATTTCGTTATGAAGATTTCTTCGTGTGTTCTTCGTATATTTACGCTAAGAAACCAGACGAAGAGTGTCTCCGCCACTTTCGTAAGATATTTTCACCCTCCCTTTCCCCTTATTTAATCGCCTTGGAAATTAAAGCACAAAAAAATTCTTTACTGGGTTGTTATTAGTTCTTGCAGCAAGCCAGTGGTAAACAGAGTGTTTATTGTTGGCTTTTTGATCCAAGAGAGTAGAAAATTCGTAAAATAACATCAAAAGCAAATGGTGCAAAGATGAGAAGAGGCCACGACTAAAACACGGTGCGTTTTTGCCTGTTCAGCGACAGCCCTTGTAATTTATCTCTATAGAGATCATGAGCGCACTTTAGAAAATAAAAGTCGTGGTGGATTTATTGACCGAAAGCGTGAGGGGGTGAAGGTGGGGTAAGGACTAAATGGACGTTTCTTTCTTTTTTTTCCTTTCCTTTTTTTTTTTCCTATTTTTTTCTTGCGCTTTGCGCTCGTTCACGTTCTCCGTACGTATTTACTCTAGGTGCATTACCAGGCGTATGAGTCTGCGCGCTATATTGCATGTTAGGTTTTTCTGCGGATGTGGTAGCGCACCCGGACGATAAACATCGGGGGAGACTGGGATACACTAATGCTTCTTTTAAGACACCGATATTCACTGTCTAGTTAGGAAATTCTGTTAAAAGGTTAAAGAAACAACGTTTGAGACTTCAATAAGGGAATATTACGTTTTCCTCGCAATATGATTCATTGAGTCAAGACTCTTGTTTCAAACTCATTAACACGAGTACAAAAAATTTCGGCTTCAACTTTCAAACTAAATCGTGGTTAACATTAAAAAAGAAAAAAAAAATGACCTACCCAGTTCTTGCTCTCCACTGGTGTCCGGTGTGGTACAATGAAGCGAACATGAAGTAACAAAGCCCGTCACGTTAAGAAGCTTGCACCCTGAAAAAGAAGGATAAGAGTTAAGGTTTTAATTTGAATGAGCTTCCTCGCCCGAATTATACTTTTAATTATTTTACGTATATTTTAGGTCTCTTTAATCTTTAACTAACATTTTTGTACTGTATTGAATGTCTGTATACATAATTTGTTCTCCTGGCAAATAAATAAACTGAAACTGAAACTGTTCTCCTGAAATAAAGGAGGTGATCTGACTCCCATGTGAGAAGTTTGGGGATCCTCATCGGAAAATAAGAATTAACAGTCCAGCCAGGTCAAGCCTACCCTCGCAAGATTCCATTAATGAATTTATTATTCGAAAGTTGAATCCGTTAGTAGTACTAGATTTCAGATTCATCTCTGCATTCCTGCACGCGTAATGAGCAGTGAATTTACACGCGAGGTAGTTAATATGAAGTTTCTACAAGCTCAGTCTCCTTGAATTTGATGCAAATGTCTTTGATAGAAGAAATTTTATCGATTCAAAGATTTTTAATCTGACCAAAGACAAAGAAGTTATTCTAAAAAAGTTTATTGCTCATGACCCACGCAGGTGCGCAGATTTGATTTTGATACTAGTTGCAGCAACGACTAACGGATTCATTTTCTTCAAACAATCGATTCATTTAATTGCAAGAAAGATGTTGAAATTAATACAGCCTTCAACACAGCGCAATGGCGTTTTTATATTTCTTTATATATATATATTTCAGCAAATACGCTACCCTTAACTAGATCTGTATGGGCAAATGATAGCTCTGATGAAATGAATGAATTATTGAGTGTATTTTCCGTGGAATTGTGCTTTTTTAGAAGAGGACGTCGACATTTGCACTGAAAGAGTTAAGGACTTCTTACTAGCTGCTGCTGATATATGCAATTATGGAACAGTCTTCCTCTTGATCTTCGCCAGGCAGGAACCCTCAGCTCATTTAAAGCAAAACTACACTGCTACAATTTCTCTAACTATCTCACGGCATCCTAGACTGCAAAACAGTCGGTTTTTGTCTCAAAATCAGTAAAGAAATCGGTAAAGCGTGGCGTAAAAGCGCGCGAGCCTCACACGCCCGTCTCTGTTTTCAGTCTCGTTCCAGACCTTTTGTTTGAATGCTCTCGCGTACTTGAATACGCAAAAATACGGACTGTTTTGCAGTCTAACGGCATCCATGTAAAGCATTGTAAGTAAGTATTTTTCGTTAAATTTATAGAGCTTAGTATTTATATTTTATAGTACTTATAGTACTTATCAATAATTATTATGTAACTGTCATTTGTTTCTTTTATTGCCTGATGGAATTACCATGACAAACCGTGACAAAATAAAGTTTGATTGATTGATTGATTGCCCCTCGGAGGGGGCAAATTCTTTGCTGTTCTTACCGTTGTAGTCGCTGGCTGAGTCACACCAAATGTTGTTTGAACAGTTCTTTAGTTCGATGCCCTGAGTAAAGCCAAGAACCGTCATCTTCCCTTTCAAGCTCATACACTGATTCCACCCATCGGGGCAGGTAACTTTGGGAACTTTACCAGTGTCGCATTTGCCTGCTCCTAATCCGGGGACATTGGTGCACACTGGACACTCAATACTAGACACTGGAAATAAAAAAATTGAACTGAATACCAATATGGAGACGTTTTACTCTGTTGTAGGTCAAGATATTCTTTTTTTTTAGTATCAAAGCAATTCATATGTCTGGAAAATCCCAGACGATGGCGATTTTATTTTTTGCCGACCATCAGAGATTTGGCTGATATATAGAGAATACTTCATGGAAAGTGCTGGAGTACGGTATTACACACGAGTTGTTTTTGTATCAGAAATCGAACGAGTGAGCGCAGCGAACGAGTGAGATTTCTGATACAAAAACAACGAGTGGGTAAATACCGTACGAAGCACTTTACATGTGATATTGTGTTTATTGTATACATACTGAGACATTCAT